TCTGTAAACCGCTTAGAGAGGGCTGAAAGCCCTATGAAGCTGTATATAAGTCTAACTGCTATTGCTATTGCTCTTGAAAAGAAAAGGAAAAAAAAGTGGGGGAAGGAAACTGCCTTCAAATTTTTACCTGGATGGCGCGACTCCGACCAGATTGGGACCCAGCCCACGGAAAAGTGACTTTGGGCCCTCCTTTTCCAAAATGGACCTGGGAACAAAAATTAAAAATGTGAAATCTATACACGGAACATATTACCATTTATGGTGGACCTGTGGAGGCTAAATTTTTTTGGAAAAAGATCAAAAATTGGCTGGAGGCAATAACAGGGGTTAAAATAGAATGGAAACCTGAAGTTTTTTTTTATTAGGAAATATTTCTAGTTAGCAAGAAGTAGGCTGTGGTTTACTTTATCAAATGCCCTACCGAAATCCAAGTATATTATATGTATGGCATTTCACTGGTCTACTAATTTAGTCATTTTGTCAAAGAGTGAAATAAGATTGGTTTTAGCATGATCTGTTTTTAACAAACCCATGCTGGCCTCTAGTTATAACTTTACTTTTTTTCTAGATGTTCACAGATGTTATTTTTAATTATCTTTTCAAGTATCTTCCCAGGTATTGAAGTTAGGCTGATTGGTTTGTAGTTTCCTGCATCTGTTGTTTTCCTTTTTTGAATATGGAAACTATTTCAGCTCTTTTCCAAACCTCAGGTAGTTCCCTGGTACTCCAGGATTTTTGAAACATATGGTACAATACGGTAGTACTGAGATAACACCTGCTAGATCCTTCAGAACTCTGGGATATAATCTGTCAGGTCCCGATTATTTATATTTGTCAAGATCAGACAGGTGCTCTCTTACCATTTTCTTGCTTATTTTAACTTTCATTTCTAGTCTGTCTTTTAAGGCTACATTTTGGTAGATTGAGCTAGTTTCTTTTTGTGTGAAGATTGATGCAAAGAATTAGTTAAGCAGCTCTGCCGTCTCTCTACTTCTTGTTACTTCCTTGACATCTTCTCTTTTTAGCGGACCAACTTTTTCCTTGACTTTTTTCTTATTTTTTATATGTTGAAAGAAACTTTTTTTAATTATCTTTTATTTTTGTTGCAAGTCTTTGTTCATGCTGAGCCTTTGCTTTCCTGACTTCATCTTTACAAATCCAGGCTATTTGCTGATATTCTGTTTTAGTTATGTGTTCCTCTTTCCATTTTTTTTGTACTTGTCCTTTTTGTCTTTCAGTTTATCAGAGAGAACTTTGTGCAACCATGCTGATTTCTTCTTGAATTTCTTGTTTTTCTTTTTCAATGGTATTGTGCTGTACTGGGCTTTTATGATCACATTTTTCAGTGTTTCCCACGTTTCTGGTTGGATTATGTTTCATTGCTTGTATTTGCATTATATTGAATTCCAATATGGCATGGTCAGTCTCACCCAGAGTTGCGGCAATTTCAACTCCCTCTATTGTGACTTCTCTATTAGGAAGAGTTAGGTCCAGTATTGCTTTTCCTCTAGTTCCCTCCTCTACCTTTTGGATGACAAATTTGTCAGCTATGTTGGCTAAGAATCTGTTCAATATTCCACTTGCTGCAGAGTTTGCCTTCCAGTTGATATTATGGTAGTTAAAGTCTCCCATTACTACTGTGGTATTTTTCCTAAGTATATTTGTTAATTGATTATAAAAGAATTCACCTATGTCTTCTACTTGCTTGGTTGGCCTGTAATATATGCCTATAGCAATGTCATTTTTTTTCTTTTTACAGTAAATTGACTCATAAGCATTCTAGGAGGTTTTCATTCTTGATTTTGTGCATTTCTATAGAGATTTAGTGGGTTTTTTGTATATAATGCAACTCCAGCTCTTTTGAATAGTTTGTAACCTTCCACCAGTATATTCCAGTCATGTGTTTAATCAAGTTTCAGTGATGGCTATTATATCCTATCTCTGCCTTCATGTATTAGTACTTCAAGTTCACCTTGTTGTTTCCTAAAATTTGAGCATTAGTATATATGGTAGGCATTTGAGTCCTTTATGGGGTTTGGCCATGTTTCTTGTATCTCCTACATTATAACTGGGTTTTCCATCCTTCCCATCACTCTCTACCTCGTTATGTTTTTTTCTTTCTTCTCTCTTAATTCCATACCTGTTGTGGCCCGGCAGGAGCTGTTGGAGCTGCCGCCAGACTCCGACAGCGAGGGGTCTTATGAGTCGGCCCTGGAGGAGGTAGAGGACCCTGGACAGGGTTCCGACTCCGAGCAGGGCGGGGAGAGACTGGTTGGCCACCAAGTGGCGCCTGAGCCTTGGATCAGTGGGGAGGAGACAAGAGTGAGCGATAGAGAAAACACCTGTGAGTTGTTCCGGGATGCACGCCATAGGAGGGCTACTCGGCGTCAAGAACAAAGGCATAATTACAAGAGGTGATTACGCTCAGCTGATGCTCATTAAGATCCTCTCCTGATTATAAAAGAGACTGGTTGTGCCACGCCTTTCTGCAGAAGTCAACGTTAAGGACTGACAAGAAACAAACTTGGCAGACTGGATTGCTGC